AAATGTATTTGACCTGATGACACCAATTATGGCTTCCCACTTAGGTTTTTCTCGTATAGCTTTATAGAACTATATAATGAAATAACGTGGACTTTCCGGGTAATGGAATTAAAGTGCTCTTGCACAAGAAGTTCTTCCTAACCCTCTCATTCATGAAAAGGTGCTCCTCGCTAGACAGAAACTTGCTGATTTCCAGTATTGTTATTTTGTCTAAAGTTCTGTAAATACATGCTTTAATGTTATCTTTGAGAAATCTATGTAAATAATATAGTCTACAACATAGAGACTGTACAATTCTGTGTTATATATGTGCCTAGTGCTCTGTTGGCACTCAATAAATTTTAAGTAACAAAATTGATAATCATATAGCCAAGGCATATTTTTCTTCCAAGTTCTAGACAGGATGTGACTATATACTAATGAGACTCCTTAGGATAAGCCACACGTGAAAACTCGTCTCATTACTTTATAGTCATGCCGTGTATGTTTTTTTAACCATAAAATGACAATAAAAATGATTTTTAAAATGAGAATGTTTTGGATAAGTGACTTCTGTCCTGATCTTAATCGCTGTGATGAAAATATTAAACACCAAACCAAGGAAACACGAAGTTCGCTACCACCCAAGCAGAAGCTGCTAAGAAGCGCAGCAACAAGATTAGCCCACTGGCAGATGGGCACGGGTCACGTGTCTTCAGTGCACCTGTGGAGTTGATTACAGAAGAACAAGTGGGGTATGTTACTTTTATGCAAAATGTTTTATACGGCTGTTATTTAAGAAAATGTGTAATAGCTTAAGACCTTCCCCTCTTGGTATGTAAAGAGCTTTCACATCCTGTTTTATAGCCATACATTGTATAGTCCATTGTATGGGTGTACAATGATTTATTATTTGGACTCCTTATTGATGTACATTTGTTTCCAAACTTTTAATTCTGCAGGTCACTAATGCTTGCGCGACACAGTTCCTCTGTCATTCACCATGCTGCGCATTTTACACATATTGTCTCAGTCTTCACAAAAACCCAACGTGATAGCTAATGTTACAAGTTGGGGGGGAGGAGTCTAGGAGGTTGGGATGAGTAAGTACCTTGACCAAGGTCATATGGCAGGTAAGTGGAGGTCTTTAACCAGCAAACATGAAGCTAATGGTAGAGAGTAACTAGAATTCTTTCCAGGCGGAGTCAGACATAAGACACATGCAAACCCTTTTGATTTTATTTGCTGCATTGTTTATACTAAGTATTTTCTTCCTATGCATTGTGTTGTCTTTTTAAGATTTTCCCTAATTCCTCAGATTTTTCCCCCCAAGTGTTTCATTTATTAATGTGGCATCACTTAACTTCTTAAAGCCAGAAAAACTTTCTGGGAATTCCCTTAACAAAGGAACATTTCTAAGACCAGGGTTTATGGTAAACTGAAACCAAAGTTTCCAGCCAACAACTACCCACTCTGGTGTATAACTTGAACAACTGTTAGCTGATTCTTCTGAACAAAGGTATTTAAAACATTTCTAGGATGTTAATAGGATGTTTTCCACCTGTTTATACCTCCCCCTTACATCTCATTCAGCTGGAGTATTGCTGGAGTACTTCTGCTGCTCCTTTGGAAGATTAAAGAGACAGTCCTGCTGTGAGGTTGAGACAAGCTTCCAAACGCTCCCCAGTAACAAAGGTAAAACCTGGGCTATATGAGAATTATGTCTTGGGGGTTCAGTCTTGAGGAAGGCTTCACTTGATTGATGGGTGGGGGAAGGCAAAGTGGGAAGGGCTTCGTGGAGAAATAACAATGTCTTTTGGAGACTTTAAGGGCTGATAGAAATTTGACAGATCTAACAGTGCTAAGAGAATGCTTGAGTTTGGAGAGGTCCTGTTCAAAAAGAGAGGTTATAGATTAAATGGTGCCTTGTGAGTTAGATGTTGCTAAAGCACAGACATGCTTTGGCCACCAAGTAAAGGGCTCCCTGAAGTGTAGTCTGGAAACAATCATAACAAACAGGTTGAACCACATTTGGTTGGGTGTAGGGTTGGGATTTCAGAATCTCTCAACTGTACTTTGTTCCCCTAACCTGATAGAGAAATATTTAGCCCTTGGTTTAGAGAGAGTTTATTGATTTGAATGACCAGCAATGATGCTGTGTTTGCAACTGAACTGCGTAAAAGACAAGACTAATTTGGGAGTTGACCCTTTCAACAAATTCACTCTTCCTGGGCAGTTGCCTGGGAACAGGCAACTTTCTGAGTCGTGCAGCCTTTGAAAATTGACACAGTTTGTTAAAATAATAACTGAAAGAAAGGAACAGAAGCTGCCACAACCTAATACAGAAAGCACGATTTTAAGTACACACACAGTGACTTCACCCTCTTGCACGGTGTAGGCACTGGCACATTTGTTGCTCAATTTTTCTGGTTCCAAACAGAAGCGCATTTTATGCACAGGGGCCATGCTAATCTTCTCTGTATCGTTCCAATTTTAGTATATGTGCTGCCAAAGCGAGCACAGAAGCACATTTTATGCAATGCAGAATTCTTCCAGTGGGCATTTTCCCCCCAAATATATGATTTATTTTTCCCATTGGGACTGGATTAAAAGAAGGGAGAAGATGAAGAAGGATAGATTTGACTATCACAAATCTAGATTTTTTTTTAATAGCCTATTTTTGAGAGAGTATGAGTGGGGGAGGGGCAGAGAGAGAGAGAGAGAGGGAGATACAGAATCCGAAGCAGGCTCCAGGCTCTGAGCTGTCAGCACAGATCCCCATGCGGAGCTCGAACTCAGGAAATGCGAGATGACCTGAGAGCCAAAGTCGGCTGCCTAACCAGCTGAGCCACTCGGGCATCCCTACCTATCACAAATGTGAACAATGGTTCGGAGCTAATTGCTGGCCTCTTGATTTTTTTTTTTTTTTTTTGGTAACAAAGTTTTATTTTGAAACCCCTACCTCAGAGGCATATAACAAAGATGCATAAAATTAGAGTAGAGCTTTCGTAGTGTAAAGCAAACCCCTCTGTAACCACTGCCCAGATCAAGATGTAGACCTCGGAGCTCCTTCCCAGGAGGCTTTTGTCTCATCCCAGTCACGACTCCTGCCTTCCCCACACCAGTGGCCCTATCCTGATTTTAAGGACAATCACTTAGAATTTCTTAAGTTTTTTTTAATCACCTGAAGGTAGATCTCTAAATGCTATAATATAGTTTTGTCTATTTTTGAACTTAATATAGAAATGCAGTATTTTAAAAAAATGAATTATATTTTTTTGTTTCCTTCATCTTTCACTCAGGTTGGTTGTAAGATTCATCTGTATGGTTGTGAGTAATAGCAGTACCTTTTTTCATTGCTGAATAGTATTCCAACATTGGTGGCATTTGGGATGTTTCCAGTTTGGGCTATTACAAATAATACCATGAACATTCTTCTCTGTTGGTGTACTTGATGGGGATGCACTTCTTCTGTTGATCATTTTCTTAGCTGTCTAGTTATCTAGGTATCTACTAAGATACTACCACAGCATTTAAGAGTTTTGCAAATCATGGATACAGGCCGTATTCAGTGCTAAGAGAACCTGAAACTATCCATAGATGCCACACAGGCACTTGGGTGCCTCACCTTCAGCCTGAGCACACCCATTCATAATGGCGTGAGATTTTGTTTAGAAGGTGTTCTGCTGTAAAATTTTGTTGGTAATAATGCATATGGGAATTCTGCTCAGGGCAAGTATTTAATTAATGTTAATGGAATTAAGTGGTTAAAGTAAGTCTGAAGGATGAACTGGGAGAGAAGACCAGACAGAGGGACCATTTGGTTAAGATAGTTGACTAGGTGAGTGATTATGAGAGCTTCATGTATTGTGGAGGGAGGCAATGGAAATAAAAATACAGACAAGCCATTTCTGGTGCCCAGACTGTCTGGGTAGGTTGGGTGAGAAAGAGTAAGTGTGGGGCACACGGCTGGGTAGGTCTTGTGATGCGCCAAGAGGCAGCATTGAGAGATGGTTACAAGCAAGCATAGGCTTTGGACTCAGGCTCTTCTGAGGTCTGAGTGATCCTGGCTAAGTAACTGAACCTCATCCTCATTTCTTCAGTTGAAAAATTAGGTTAATAATAGGACCTACTTTAAAAGTTCTTACAAAAATTAAGGGACATAATGCCAATAAAATACTGGCACAGAGCCAGTAAGCACTCAGTCACTGCTGCTGTGATTGGTAATCATAATTGGTTTTGCTAGAGCTAAGGAGGACATGTTATCAGCTATTAAAGTATAAAAGAAAGACTTCCGGAAATAACGATTTAGAAAAAGCCATGTTACGATGGTTGATTTGAGAAGTGTCTGTAATTCCGTTAGGCAAGTGTGTGAATAAAAGCCTATTGAATGAAGCATACACAGCCTGACCTTACCAACAGCTCGGTTCCTACAGGAGTCTCACTGCACCTTGAAACTGTGTGAGCACCCAAGAAATGTTCAAGATCTTCTTTCTCTGCTGACTGAGATCTAAACCCCAGATAAAGTGGTACTTGAAAACACGGTTTAAAAAGAGTGCAGGCAAACTGTCAGGGGCTGCTGCTGCCTCTGAAAGGGAGGATAGCATCTAAATGGTTTTAAAGACAAGCTGTGATCTAATTATGTTGTTCTGACAGAACAGCTGTGATCTATAGGGGATCTAAAAAAGTTACATAGTGGTTTTGCTTCTTGTTTGCACACACTTGTTTAAACTACCCCAAATCCAGAGACTGGTTAAATTAGCTAGATGGAGACTGTGTATTGCCTTTTTAACTAATTAATTTTAATTCTAGTATAGTTCGCATGTTAACATACAGTGTTATGTTCGTTTCAGGTGTACAGTATAGTGATTCACCACTTCTATACATTGCTCAGTGCTAATCGATTTCAGTGTACTTTTAATCCCCATAACATCTTATGTACGTAGCAATTTATATTAAGTTGATGGTTGAAATTAAGCTTAAATTTGAACCTATTCTTTACTCTTCTCCCCCCTCCCCACGTTTTAGGTATTGGTATCATACTTTACATCCCTTCATCTTGTGAATCCCTTTACTGATTTTTATAGATATAGTTTTGCTGTTTTTGTTCTTCCTACTTTTCTTACTCTTACTAATGGTCTTTCCTTTCCATTCAAAAAAGCCCATTAACATTTCTCATAGGGGTGGTTTACTGGTGATAAATTTCTTTAACTTTTATTTGTCTAGGAAACTCTCTCTTTCTACTCTGAATGATAGCCTATCTGGGTAGAGTAGCTGCAGGTTTTTTTGTTTTTTGTTTCTTTCAGCACTTTGAACACATCAGGCACCTCTCTTCTGGCCTGCAAAGTTTTTGCTGAAAAGTTCACTGATAGCCTTATAATTTCCCTTGTATGTAACTGTTTTCTTGCTGCCTTTAAATTCTTTATCACTGCTTTTTGCCATTTTAATTACTGTGTGTCTTGGTGGGGACTTCCTTGGATTGATTTTGGTGGGGGGATCTCTGTGCCTCCTGGATCTGGATTTCTGTTTCTTTCCCCAGAAAAGGGAAACTTTCAGATATTTCTTGAATTACATTTTCCACCCGCTCTTCCCTCTCTTCTCCTTCTGGGATCCGTATAATGGGAATGTTATGACCCATGTTCAGTAGCTGAGTTCCCTAAACCTATTTTTATTTTTTAGTATAATTTTTTCTCTCTCCTATTCAGCCTGATTGCTTTCTCCTACTCTATTCTTCAGGTCACCGATCCATTCTTCTGTTTCCTTTAGTCTACATTTATTCCCATTAGTGTAGTTTTACTTTTTAAAGTTGAGTTTCTCATCTCTGATTGGTTCTTTTTGTTTTCTATCTCTTTGTCAAGGGTCTCACTGAAGTCCTCCACTCTTTTCTGGAGTCTAGTGAATAGCTTTGTGACCTTACTTTAAATTCTGTCAGGCATATTACTTACCTTGGTTTCATTTAGCTAGCTCTCTTGCTGTGGTTTTGTCCTCTTCTTTCATTTGGGACATATTCCTGTCTCCTCAGTTTGCCTAACTGTCCATTGTCTGTTTCTACGGGTTAGGAAAGTCAGCTACATCTCCTGCTCTTTAAAGTATTGGCCTTATGAAGAAGAGGTCCTGTCGTGCCCTGCAGTGCAATGTCCTCTGTCCATCAGAAACGGGCACTTCACAGGTGTCTCTTATGTCTGTTGCATGCACTCTGGTGGTGTGACTGAGCCACCTTTCCCTTTAGTCTAGTCGTCTGCAGTGATTCTCTGCCTGTGTGGGCAGGGTTTGGCCCGTGTTGTTAGTGGGCTAGTCTGGGGCCACCTTATGCTTGAGTTAGACCAGGTGTTTGCCAGAGATGTAGTAGCACCAAACTTCAGGTTGCTTTCTGTGTTGTCCCCTGAGAAGCTTTCAACGGTGGGCAGGGCCTGCGGTCAGACCAGATGGCTGCCCCCAGCCCATTGTTGGAGCTGCACTGGGACTGGTGCTTATGTTCCTCTCTCCCCAGTGCACAAGTCACTTTGGAAGTGGTGCTGGCCCTGGTTGAGGCTGCTCGAACACGGCCAGGCTCGTGGAACCACTTTGGGTGGTCTGTGGCCAAGGGCATATTGGAGGCAGATCCACAGAACACAGCAGCAGGGCGTGTGGTGTTCGCAAGGTCCATGCAGGTCTACTGCAAGAGGGGATCTGGAACTACCAAGAACCAAGCCTGGGGGATTCAGTGGGGTAGGCGGATCCACAGAAGAGGCAGGGGTGGGTCATGCAGTGTCAGTAAGGTTTGCATAGGCCTGCTGTGGGAAGAGACCTAGAAGCCTGGCTGGAGGGTCATGTCTGCAGGAGAATGCAAGGGCAAGTTCACGGTCATGAGCAAGTTAGGGAGAGTGTTGTGCTGCACTGGTTCCCACAGGTGTCCATGGGGACAGGGAACAGGGGAGGGAAATGGTGCCAGCCAGCTCTTTGGTTCCTGAAGTCTCTCAAAGTTTCCTTTCCCTCCAGCACCTGGCTCCGAGAGCAGTTTAGCTCCTCACTGTGTCTGCCCCCTTTCCTACCTTCTTTGATGTTGGCCGCTTACCTGCATTTAGTTATGGAGAGTGTGTTCTGTCAGTCCTTGGATCATCTTCTGGGTTATTTACACTGATGTGCATGTTACCTAGTTGTATCCATGGAACATTAGAATCTTCCTATTCCACCATCTTCCTGGAAGTCTCTGTGTATTGTTTTGGGGGGCTTTAAATTTTATTTTTAAGCTCTCTGTGTGACCCTGAATATGCAGCAGATTGCAAACCACTGTACAAGTAAGTTGTATTTCCATCATTATCCAAGATGAGACGGGGCAAACCAGTCTGGATTATAGAGCAGAAATTCTCCCAAGTAAATATACAGGAAATTATGACTTTCCTGTCTATAATCTCACTTAATCCTCTAGGTAAGTAGGCAGCAAACCCTTATATAGGCCACTCTGGCTCAGAGGTTTAGTAACATACTCAGCTTGACTCAGGCACATAAAACTGTGCCTCCGTTCTGTGAGCTGTAAAACCA